TCATTACTACATAATATTTTCCAACTTCAATTAAAAACAATATAAAATAAAACTCCTCAATAAATAACAACAAAAGTCACATTCATCTACATTTTCCATCCAAAGTATGTCAATTCATGCATTTCCATTCTATTGCATCTGTCATCAATTGTATAAAAAACCTGCAAATAAAATTTAATAACAATTATCAGCAATCAATTACTTGCAATATTACACATACAAACACAACTAAAATAATATAACATCATACTAATACAATAAAAAAAAAAGTTTGTACTTCTCATACAGGTACAATAACACACTTCAGTTAGTAATTCATAAACATTACTTGCATCATTGAATGCTGGAGATAACGACACTTTATAACTATATATTGATTCTGACTGTGAAAGACACATGTCACCAACCCCATTATCAAATTCATCACATTTGTCAAACAAATCTTCAATGTATTCATCTTCCTACAATGACAACATTACACCCATCACATCTAACTCTCTTCAACCAACAAATATATAATTTCAATATAAATTATATTCGTTACCTCTACATTTTGGTTAGCTACATAAATTTCTTCAAATTCAAAACTCATTCCACCTGTGCTTTGTTCCATATCATCAAAATTTTGTTCTCTTGGACACGTTCTCATGTTGTGGCCTATTTGTTTACACAAACTACACTTAATACTCTTTTTTGATTTCCTACCTTTGCGCCATGAACCTTGATCAATAGAGCTTCCTTTACTCCTAGCAATGGCAAGATTTCTTATAACTACACTTAATTCATCACCTAATGCATTGCCTTCTTCAGATTCATGACCTTTTTTAGCTCTTATTTCAACTAATTCATTTACAACTTTATCCCTTTTATCAACATAATCATCATATCTTTCACATGCCAAAGTACTAAGCTCTTTAAAATACTCCATCAATGACAAGTATCTAGCATCTTTCTCAGAGTCCCACCTATGTGTACTAACATTGCCCTTCACTTCATCCTTCGCCACCTTAGTCCACCTTTTTAACACCAAACATCTTGGTAACTCTCATAAATTCATATGAACCAACACTATAAGTATATGATCACATGGAATGTCAACCGATTCCATTCTTAAGCACGAACACTTCAAATCACATGGTATTGATTGATATGACGCATGTCATTGCTTGTGAATCATTTCATATTTTCTCACTATGTATATACAACAACCAAATGTCTGCTTGCAACCAATCACCCTCATCAGAGATGAACTATGAAGCTGATCACGAAATAATTTGAATATTTCTTTCGTATAACACTTTGCACCAGATAGCTCTAGGTTATGAAAATCTGTTTCTGGCACAGGATCACCATGAATTAATGCAAAGTCAGCTTCAACTTCCCTATAACGCATATAACTCACAAGACGATTAAACTGTTGAACAAATTCTGTCAGATTAATCTTCGGATGAATATATTTTTTCAACTCGGAATGTAATCCTTCACACCGAGAAGTTGCCCTAAAACCACCAAAGAAAGCCCCTCTAATATAAGTTGTACACCACATCTTCCTCTTTTCAAATAACTCTATAACCTAAGGATGATCATGCAACTCAAACTTGTTCAACATTTCAGACCACTTCTTTCGAAATTCACCAATTTCATACTCACCCAGCATGCATTTTCTGAAATCCTTTGTAAATGCCGACTTCTTAGTATTAGTTGTCGCATTCCTTAATAAGTGCCATGCACACAATCTATGGTGTGAATTAGGAAATACCTTTCTTATCGCATTTTTCATTGCAACATCACCATCAGTGATAATAGACATTGGTGACTTTCCTTTCATGGCTTCTACAAATTGCTCAAGTACCCAAATATATGTTTCTTCACTTTCATTTGAAACAATAGTACTCCCAAATACTATCGTATGATTGTGATGATTAACACCAGAAAATACAACTACAGGACATAAATACTCCATCTGCATCATGCCATCACACCAAAACAAATGTTGCAATCTGTTTTCATCATCAATAGTGTGACCAACATACATTAAAGGATCATTGCATTTTAAACCATTCAAAAATTCCAAGGCAGATTTATAATCCAAACCTTGCAACCTTCTTTGCCTTCCAATTTGATTGTATATGTCCTTTTTACAAAAAGGAAGTCTCTCATACCCTCCAGGGTGATCTGCAAGTGACCCATAAATTTGAGGAGTACTTATGCCAACTTTTCTCATTTTATTCAACTGCATTATATCTAACTCACTCATATCTCTATGAGAAGCTAACAATCTACAATACTTTTCTTCCAAAAAACTATGGTTGTGGTCATCCAGAAAATATGTAATGTACCACATCTGCTATCAATATGCATTCTTAGTTTTGCTTCGCATCCGCACCTTGTCTCCGGTGTTCTCTTTCGCTTTCGATTCTCTATGTTCAAACCACGCTTATCTCTAAATCCTTCCTTGAAACAAACAAATGTTTGTTGTAATTTTTCCCCCTTAATATTTATCAAAATCTTGTTTTTTCTTGCAGCAAATCCATTAACTTTTGCATACTAGTAATAAAATAAGTAAGTCATCTCAACACTTACAAATTGAACATTCCTAAGCTCATGTGGACTTAAATGCAAATCTAAATTAAACATATCATTCAAATTAGAAACTATGACCCCCTTTTCACTGTCAAAAACCTCAACTTTTCCTTCATTAACAACATTTTCCACTTCTTCACACATTTCTTCAAAATCAATAACCAAATTCTCATCTTCCTCATTCTCATTTATATTATCTTCTCCTTCATTTATGCCTTCAAAATTAGATACTCCTTCATTTATGCCTTCAACATCACAGTTATACCACACATTACACAACGCATTATTAATTTTATTTATATTGTAACAAAAATGTCACTTATGAATCTAAGCACCTCAAACACTTCCGCACCAAATAATCTCTGTTAGTTGTAGACACCAGCAACAACAGATGGATCATCAAAATTGCACATACATATAAAATCAAATGCAAAATCAACATTCAAACTATATATGATCATGTAAACAAATTTTGCACCACTCACAGTTACAAAAAACGTAAACCTCGAAAAAGGCTTCGTTTTGTACGCCACACTTTAGGTTTAAAAAATAAACAAAATCGATTGCTCACCTGTTAAACCTAACAAATCTTTGAAGGCCTTGCAGACTAACAACTACAACAACGGATGACAATAGAGGACAACGAAGGACAACGGACGCCCCGGCGGAGGCCGACTTCAAAGATGCTCTCCACAAAAGCGCCACGCCGGCAATCGCACCTGCTAATCGGAACTACTCCTACAAAATCACCACAGATACCAGATCGCAAATCTATACACACCACTTCATTATTATCATACACCCTAAACCCTACTAAACACGGACAAATATCAAAACTAAAAGGACTACTCTGCAATTGTAAAATGTTACTAATTAAATGATAATCTCAACCGTTAATTATTTATATTATATTTACGGTCATTATTCCTTTATTCAGGCACCACCAATGGACCACTTGTCAAACTGGACTATCAGAGACATCACCAAAGCTAACTATCAATAAACATCAAATTGACAGAAAAACTAATATTCGGATCACATCACTTCTAAATCAGCCTCTACAATTTCCACGAAGTTCCATGTCTTACGCTGAACATCTGAAGCAGCAGCTCCAACATGATCTGCACCAGTTAAACTGGCTTTTGCTGCTGAACTAACTTAGAGAAACGATTCCGATCAGTGTCAAGTTCTCAGTCGGCACCAGAAACATTAAAACCAATATCAACAATTGGATCAGAATTCCAAACTGCAACTGTTGTACCAGAATCAGCAACTTATTCTAAAGCTGTAACAAGGACAGCTGAACCTGGCTGCACAGACTTCAAAACATTAGCCTCAATATGATCTTCATGCTCTAAAGTACAATTAGGCATTAGCATTTGCTGCTGAATGAGAATGAGCCAACTTAGGGGACTGATTGCAAACCATAGGGGCTGCAGCATCAGAATCTAAGGCAGGATTGAATGCAGAATCCTGATCAGCTGGGAAAATAGATTTTCTTTGCTTAGCTGTAATACCAGAAGCCGTAGCTACACTTGGACCAGCATAGGAGCCAGGAGCAGCATTTTTTTCACACCAGAATCACCAAGAAGTTGCCTTCCTTCCAGCAGTCTCTTCAAACTAATAAAAAAGAATTGAATTCCTTTGTTTTTTTCTGTATCTCCAGAGATAGCAGCAACTCTAGGATCAGCAGCACCAGCTATGGAACCAGGCTTAGCAATGGATTTTTCGCCATTAGGAGCACCCTCACTAGCAGACTTAAAAATCTTCGACAGTTTTGGATCTTTTGTCTTCGAAACCCTCACCATTTGTAACTGTCATGCAAAAAGCCACAGTATGACCAATTTTATTGCAAGAAAAACAAAATGCTGGGAGACTCCCATATTCTAAGGCAACAAAGAAAGTAAAACCTTCCCTTAACGAAGCTTGTTAATGGAATGTTACACGATAAGCATCACAGCAATAGCAGATTCAGTAATCCACAACACTGGAGATACAACTGCTTTCTACCAACACAATAAATACCCAACGAGTTTCTCGAAACCCAAACAGAAAAATACTTCCCAATTGAACCATAACATACTTGAATAGTGACTATTAAATAGCCCCCAAAACAGCAACCACCAGAACATATTAGCAGTCCTGGATTCAAGATAAATCATGAGATGCATATCTCTCCATTCCAATTCAGAAGCTTCAATATTATTAAGTCTACTAAAGAAATGGATGCTCCAAGAAGTGTCATATCATTCGGTAATCAGTATTTGAAAATTGATGTAGAGAAGAAAGTAAACATACGATGCAGCATCCATATGGACAATCACCACCTACAATCTAACTCAAATATCCTAGCCTCTAAAGAAAACATGACATTATCATATTACAATCATATGATAATGTTCCAATATTCTCATTGCTTCTACAAAACCACTCAGGAAGGAGTTCATTAAAACCGAGAAATCAAAAATTAAAACAAAAGTCATCTATATGAACACCAATAGTACACCCTTCCAAAGAATATTAACTCCACCTATGCCTCCTGAATGTTACAGATGTTTAGATAAAGTTACATTTTAAAATAGTCAAGGCCATAGTTTAACGAAAATACAAACTTAAGAACAAAATTAAACAAATCCATGAAACAATCTCAACATCTCAACCAGCAGAACCCACTAATTCCTTTCACAATACATAAAAAAGGCTAGTTAGTTTTGTGATTTAAAGATTGAGAAACCATGGAAATTCAATAACAGTTTTGTGATGCAAGTATCCTCAACAATAGCATAAAATTGCTTCACTTTCTCCTCCGCTTTCTTCGTTTTCTGCCACTCCCACTGTCACTTTCATCAGAACTTGCCGAGTCTGACTCTGAACTGGCTGTTCCTGAATCTGATGAATCAGAACTCCCTGACTCTTCATCTGATTCAGATTCCGAAACTTGTTTCTGTTGTTGCATGATTAGCCGCGGCATATTCTTCAAATACTCGCGTAGGTTCTCAGTAAGACCACCAAGACCAATAGATGTAAAGAAGTTAATGCAAAACCTTGTGTTTTTTGGATTGTCTTTTGGAAATATGGATTCAAAAGACTCTTGCATTGTTGAATCATTTAACCGCTCATTTAGCAGCCGAATTCCAAGATGTTCTGATAATTCCTGCAACATTATAAACTGAAATCAACATCTTTCACATACAGAGATGCAGCATAATATATGCAATATAGATGATAACAAGCCCCTAAAAATTTTGCAGGTCTCGTAATAAGAACAGTATATTTCTAAAAAATATGATTCAAAATTGGTGAAATAATAATGCACATGCACAGAGAAACAAAAAATAGGAATATTGGAGTTTGATTCTCAGTACCTGGAAGAGAATCTTAATAAATATACGTGAAGATGAAGTTGTGTCCTCTTCAGTCAAGCGTATATATGATAAAACATGCCAAGGTAGTGCATCTGTGCCAAGTAAATGAGCAAAGAACTTTGCCACATTTCGCAGTTTATTCGTTTCCAGTCGGTGAATCATTGAGTACTGCTGCACAAAGCACTTCTCAAAATTTTCTTGATGTACTTTGTTGATCAAGCAGAAACGCTGCCCCAGAAGACCATAATATCGGAGATAAGTTCTCTCTTGGCTGCAACATTCCAAAAGCATAATGCACAATTCCATCTGCCACCAATTATACAAATTACAAAATTATAATTATTAATTAATTAAAAGGTACAACTGAATGAGCCAAAAAAAATGGAGATGATACATCAGATGCTGGAAATTAATGTCTAATATGAGTAAGTGCATATAGATGCAGCCTATGCTATAACAGTTTGACATGATACCATAGGAGCACTAGTTCTTTAAAAAGAGCATCAAATAAGATAACAATAAAACAAATGAACCAAAATACTATGCACCCACCCAAGTGACACCAAGTTAAATACTAATCTAAATTGATCAAAAAGTGCCAAGATTCAAATTGGGAAATTAGTTATTATATACAAGGGAGAGATTAAGAAAGAGAGCATTCAGCTTTTCGATAAAATCACACCAATAGTTGAACTAGATTCTAATGTTCTTCCATATTATTAAAATATATATTTAATGTACCCAAAAAACATTATAATAAGAAGAAAAAGGCAGCAACTAAATAGTTTAGCAATAGAACAGTAACTGCTAGCAGAGATTCTGAGCTCACCTCTTGACCTGGCTCTAGCTTAATTTTCAGCAGCTTGTGACCAGCTTCCTCAAAATCAACACTAGACATAATTGTTAAGTATATTGTCCTTCGAAGATTGACAAGATTTGTCTCTGTTTCATCTTTAATTTGCATCTTTTCTTCTTCCTCTTCATCATCTTCATCATCATCATCGTCGTCATCATCTGACTCACCATCCAAGCCTTCCTCATCATCCTCAGATTCCTCATCCTCACCCAGCATTGATTTCTTCAACTCCTCGTAACGCTTCTCATTCTCCAGAAAATTGGGGTCTGGCTTGAATATATCTGAAGAATAACAAAATGGAAAATAAAGAAATCACAATGACATATGACCACAATTAATCAAATAAGAAACAGATAAAACTTATCAATACAATATTTACCAAGGGAAATCTCTGGATCTATCTCCTCATCCAAGGAGACTTCATGAGTTAACTGATCTTCCTGCTCTACAAGATCTAGTTCAGGACGAACAGCAGGATAGCCCTGTAAATGCAATGTGACCATCATAACACACTTCAATTTTAAACTATTAGATTAAACTGATAAGCAGAAGAGTTGACATTCTGTGTTATTTTGTTAAAGTTCTATTCCTATCACAATCAATAAATAGAAGTACCTGAAACTTGGCTTTTCTTATTGCAAATAAGCCTTCAATAAGAAACTGAACACGTTTGTCAATTTCTCCTTCATGTAGAATTCCACGAAAACGCTCAAAGATACCTGCAAAATTACAAATCCTATTTATTAAAAAAAAAAAAAATCGACAACTGAAATTGATCTCATGCATCATTTGCACGTATACACAAGTGTCTAGCATAAGTATATTTCTGCAAGCATGCAGGAACATAAACAAATATAAACCAGGAGAAGACCCAAAGCAAGTGGATGCAGTTGGGTAGAGCAATAATTAGATACATAATTAGATTAGAGGTATAGGAGGATATTCAATCCTCCCTAAAAAAGAAAGTGTAAACAAAAGGGACAAAAAAAATGGCATCGATGGAACAAAGCTAACCAGTAAGACAGTCTCTAAATACATCTAGCAAACATACTTTTGCTTTGGTTTGGGCATTAAAATTATTTAGAATACATAATTCTCAGAATCAAATAACTCAAAACAAGTTACAAAACATAATTCTCAGAGAAAAGGCAAGGTTTACAAATAAAAAACGAAGCACACTGTTGCCTTATAGTTTGAGAGAATACCCACCATGAAGACCTTTAGGTGAGAGATCCTGCAGTATTGAACCGCATTCTGTGACAAAACCAACAGCTACTTCAACACTGTCATCAGTAGGTTTCTCGAGTAAAACTGTGAGTAACTCTAGAGCAATGATCTCGTGAGCCACTTGCTGATTCACCAGATGCGCTATAAATTTAACAGCTGCTAGTAATTGAGGCTATAAATGATGAAAGACAGTGAAAAAAAAAATCAGAAACAAAGACAAGTAAAAGTAAATTTTGAATTGAACCATAAAATTGATCTAAGTTTAAGACCACACATTAAATTATAAGAAAAAGTGGGGTCATTACACACCTTGTCATTCCGCTTATAAGCTCTCTTAAGCTGCAAAACAATCCTTCTTAGCAAAAGATCCCCCACCTCAGGAAACTTGGTATTAACGACAGCAACCAAGGCAGCGAAAACATCCGTAAATCCTGGAGATGCCATCTGTGACTTCATACATGACCGACAAAAGAGTCCCCTTCCCCTGATCAAGTTTTCCGAAAACAATTCCGGAATTATATTTTTTATATTAGTTGCATTAACCTTATTTACAAGCCCATTTATGCTCTTTCTCAAAGCATCCCATGTTAACCTTTGATACTCTACACTACTTTTATCCTGAACTTCTTTCATCATCATTGCCATCTTAAATGGGGGAATGTAACCACCTCCTCTCTTTCCCAAATTAGACGCATCACCATTCAGGACTGTTGTCTGTCGTCGAGCATTTGCATCTTCAACCATTCTTCCATTTCCATCCTCTCTCTTCCTACTTTCTTCTTGCCGCTTGTTCGCATCCTTTTCCCTATGGTTCCTCTCATTGTCCCCATCCTTTTCAACTCTATGCCTCCTATCCCTCTCCAATTTCCTGGCAAACCCCCTATCATCTTCTTCCTCCAAATCATGACGCGCACGACGATCCCTCTCATTGTTACCACCCTTTTCAACTTTTCGCCTCCTCTCCCTTCGTCGGACATTACGATATCCGACGTAAAAAAGTAGGAAAAAACTAAAAAAAAAAAACATAAAAATGCCAGCAGAACGGCCCGTTCTGCAAGCAGAACGTTGCAGAACAGGCCCGACGTAAAATTTACGTCTCCCGCTTCCACGTCGGTATGTTTTCTGACGTAAAAAGCTGAAAATGACCGACGTAGTACACCTCTTTTGTACTAGTGATCATAGCACGGTTGATTCAAACTGGACGTGTGTGTTATGTGTTTATCATGATTTTGTTGTGTACTCTAAATGTATTTTGTTTGTTGTGTTCTTTGATGATGCTTTGCTTTGATAATGATGATGATGATGATGATGATGATGATGATGATGATTATTATTATTATGTTCTCCTTGTGTTGATATTGTTGAGTTTGATACTGTTAGATTATATCGTAATTAGAGGAATGATAGATGGTGTTAGCTAATATCATTATGACTGCTTTTCTTCATTCTTATGATTGCTTATTTGTTTGATACTTCTTGCTTACGTAAGAAGTAGTGGTTGGGTGGTATCGCTCGTGTTGCGAGCATAGGTGCAAGTAGTAGTGGATGAAGCATCGTGCTAACTAACTAGAACTACTTGAACCTTGAATGTGGGTGAGACATTGATTTGTCGAGTGTATTGAGAGTTTATAGTTGATGGAGTTTTTGAAATCTATAGTTGTAGCGATTGGATCCAAGAAGGTTGTATGTTGAGAATTAGAGTTTTGGTATTCTTGATGAGGGGTTGAAATGTTTGTAATTTCCTTGAGTGTTGGTGCTTGCATGTTAACCTTTTATGGTTTAGGTAGCATGTGAGTTTTATTTTCTAAGTCTTTTGTGCTGAATATGTGAGTTGTTTTGGTTTAGGATTGTAGTGAGAATCTTGGATATGAGTTTTAAGTGGAAAGGAGTGGGTTTGGAAGGATTGAGGTATTTTCGTAGCCTTAGATGTTGATACACTATTATTGTCTGGTGTAGGGGATGTTTGCACTGCAATTTTGTTGTGCCAGTACAAGTGCTATATTGACAGAATTAGATTTTGTTGTCTTCATAAACGTTGTATCCTTGGACATTATCTTTCCAATGGAACTACAATCAGGTAAAACGGAGGTTTAGAACTCTAGTTATAGCTGCTTGGGTGATCAGAGGTCTAGTTGTAAGCGCTGAATATATATATGTTGTGGTTTTTGAATTTTTAGCTAAGAAGATGATTTTTTTAGAATCTCATTTCTTCATAAGAATTGTAGCTTATTCTCCTATCTTTATTTTGAGATAGATTTAAGATCAATTGGATGAGTATAACTCTCTATGTATCATTTTCTTTGACAGTTGTTGAAGGGATATGTATGGTGTCATGATATTTTTGAGTTAAAAAAAAACGATTCAGTAACAAAGGAGAGGGAGAGGGTTTAGAGAGAAAAAAATGAAAAGTGAGGAAGAGTGAATGCGCGCGGTGTGCCTCGCGCTTTCTTATTCAAATTTGCGTCCTTTTTTACGTCGGACCCTACCAGGTCCGACGTAAAAAAGTTCGCAAAAACTACAAAAATGCCACCGCGTTTTTTTTACGTCGGATTTAAGTATTTCTGACGTAAAAGGGGTGACGTAATATGCTAATTTTCCACTAGTGGATACCACTAAATGTGACACCCTTTACCCCACATACCATAACACATAAATAATAAAATTTGTTGAAATTGCTCTTTTTGATCCCCAAATTTCAACTTATTCTTGTTTTAGTCCCTACTCCTAAACGGCGTTAATAACATGTCTTATGTGGCAAACGAAGTACACATCAGCAAATGCCATGTGTAATTAATTATTATAGTTGGAATTAACTTTTTTTTTTCTTTTTAATTTGAAGTGTTCATTTTTTAAAGCAAAAACTCCTTACTTACGAAAGCAAAACCGTGAGACTCGAATGACATAACGGGAATCCCATTGTCCCTCGTTTAAACCTTGATTTGGAGATTGAAAATGGTGTTTCCACTTCCCCTATTAGTGTAAACATTGTTCTATTTCACGGCATTGTACTCCAAAGCGACTCTCAATGAGGTGTCTGTGAGTGATTACTCTAGACAAACTTACGGTGTTGTGCGTTTTTGTGTTCTCCATTTTTCAATTTCACAACGTTTTATTGAAGGTATGTAACTGACCTTATTATGTTATTTGGGGTCTTAGTAATTTTTTAATTTAGGTTTTGATTAATTTTTAATTTAGGGTTTGTAATGAATTTCTAATTTAGGATTTGTAATATGGCATTCACTGTGGTTTTCCATCACATGGGCAAGTTTGAATTTAAACCATTATTGCACTATGATGGTGGTGAAGTTCATGTTATCCATGGCCAAGACATGGATAGATGGTCTTTTTATGAAGCAATAGGTATATTGAAGGATCTAGGGTATGATGATGATGTCAAATTATGGTGGAAACCAGAGATACAATCATTTAGAGGGAAATTGAAACCATTTGAGTCTGATAATGATGCTATAGAGTTGGGAAATTATGCATTGAAGAATAATTGTGAGATGGGAATATATGTTGAGCACTCTATTGCCAAGGAACCTCTTGCTTCCATGGAACCTATTGCCAAGGAACCTCCTTCTTCCATGGAACCTGCTGCCAAGGAACCTTTTGCTACCAATGAACCAAATCTTGAGCATGTTCATGTTGAAGCTAGTGATGAAAGCGGAAGAGATGTGTCTTTTGGTGTTGAGTCACAAGATTCTGACTTTTCTTACATACCTAATGTCCATGACGAAATGCATCAAATTGATGATGAATATAGTAGTGAGGAGTTAGTTAGTGATAGTGAAGAAAGTGATGTTGGTGAAGGTGAAAATGTCAAGGAAAAATGTGTCATCTATAGGAAAGAGCACATGTGTAAGGATTATAAGTTTGAAGTTGGGATGGAATTTTCATCCCTTCAAGATTTCAAAGATGCAATTAAAGAACACTCTGTGTTGAATGGTAGACAAGTTAAATTTCTGAAGAATGATAAAAGAAGAGTAAGGGTTGTGTGTAAGCAAGGGTCTGATTCAGAACGGACAGTTCTGCATGTGATTTTTGCACATGACGAAGGGGTACAGAACGGCTTGTTCCAGAACGGCCTGTTCTAGGGTTTGGAACGCCCCGTTTTCAACTACATATTATAGGTCAATTCAGTAGTTTGGAATGGCCCGTTCCAGTTTGGGAATGACCCATTTGGGCTACTGAATCTCCTATACTGGACTTTTGAGCCTTCTGATTAAACTTACTACGTTACAATAAATATAATATAATTTTATATTAAACATAAATAAAATTCGTATTTATAAATTATTTTAATATTAAAAAAAATGATCATTATACCCCTATTCAACAATATTTAATTAAAGAATATATAATATCATACAAAATGTAAATTTTGTATTCTATAAAGTTAGATAAAGTTAGATAGATAAATGAGTTGTAGAAGTCAATCCACAAAATAATTAAAATCATATTAATATAACTAATATTATATTATTCAATTAATGATTTTGAAGATTAAACTATAAAAAAAATTATCACACAATAAGGACAATAAAATAATTATACATAATAATTAGACTTTCAAACGAACACGTCTTTCTTTTTAAATATATATATTTTAGTAATATATTTCAAATCACTTATATGATACAAATAATATATTTGAGTTTATTAAAGTGTGTTTATATATATATATATAGTGATTAATACACTGTTAAAGATAATAAAAAGTAATTAAAAATTTAGGAATCATACTATACAACTAAAATTTCAATGGTTTATGACAAATATATCGAGATTTGAGATATAAAGTAAAAATGAAAGTTAAATATATAAAAAATATTAATTTATAGGAAGGCTTATGTTGAATAGATATAGATTGATCTAATTATTAAATTTAGTAAATAAGTCATTCATTAGATTTTGGAAAGTAAGTCACTCATACGCGAATGCACACCTCACTTTCGTTTTCACACATTCAAAATATTTGTCTATAAAATTAAAATTTTATACTTCAACCAATAAACTATTTTGATATGAATTTGTATAATATTTTTAATTAATTATTTTATTATAGTAAATTTAAATTTAATAAAATATTTTATTTATTATTAAAATATAAAATAATATTTATTTAATTAAAATGTAAGTCATAAATTTAAATATATATCCATAAACAATGAGAAAAATGTCAGGATTTTGAATAATAAAAAATAAGGTAAAAAATAGTAATAAAGAGTAAAAGGTTTCATGGTTAGTGTTAAAAAACCAGCAAGTGAATTTTACTTTTTAAAAATATTAATTTTAAAATAATATTTTAGTCTCTATAATGTATAATTAATATTTGTTGATCTAACTTAACTAAGGCACACAATGGTTCTTGAGGACGATATTAGTAGCACTAATCAATGGAGCACGAAAAAGGTCAAGATGAAACAGGATGAAGATCCATGTGATACTACGATGGAGAATGATCATAGTGTTGAGATGCAAATGATGGACTTAAAAAATCATATGTTGATAGTTTGCCCTCTTCGGATGGAAATAAATGCTTTGCTGATTATACCTAGCCAGCTTCTAAAACAGATGGAGGACTATGAAGATGGTTTCTTAGAAGATAAAGAATCAGCTGAAGACGTGGAAGGGAATCCTAATCTGTATCCAAAGATCCAAATCTCCCATGAGGAATGGTGTGCTCTTTGGAAGAATACGTTGGTTATCAATGTCTTAGGCAGGCATGTCCCTTTCAAAGCTTTAAAATACAAGATTCATCGTGATTAGGCTAAGAATGGTGCAGTAAGAATCATTAATAAGCCCAATGTTATTATTTTAAGGAGCAGGAGGGTTATAAGCATGCGCTCTATGAGGGACCTTGGAAAATTATTGATCATTACATTATCGTTCAGAGATGGAGGCCAAAGTGAGAAAGATTGCTGCTCGGATTCGTATCCCCGACTAGCTTATTGAATTATATCATGATTGTTTATTGTGGAGGGTAGGCAACAAATTGGGGACCATGCTCAAAATTGATAAGTTAACCTCCATTCACTCACGAGGTAGGTTTGCACGAATTTGCATGGAAATCAATTTGAGTAAGAAGTTGGTCTTAAAGATTGACATCATGGGTCATGTTTTAAATTTGGAATATGAGGGACACCACTCAGTATGCTTTTCGTGCGGGAAGTATGGGCATCGACAGGGTCAAGGTGCTATGAAAACGAGGACGAAAATCAGGACGACATGAACAATGGACATAGAGATGGACACTGAACACAATAGGGAGAAGAATGACCTTCATGGAGCCCCTACAATGGAACAATCCATGCATCTTCCTTCTAATACAACTGTGGGTGCTGAAACAGGTTTAAGCAACTCGATGCTAGGAATTAAAGATACGCCAGTAACTACCGAATCTACCCCAGAATCGGAGCAGCTTTACGGG